TCGCGTGTGCCAGTGCCCTTGACATTGACATCGCGTGTGCCAGTGCCCTTGACATCCTCACGTGCGCCAGCTCCCGCACCTCTGATGTTGCCGCCTGAACGATTGCCGGTGTCCCTGATGCTGTCATCCACACCTGTACCTTCCAGAAGGTGCTGATAGGTGGCGATCTCCTCCTCCAGTTTAATCTTAATGTTCAGCAGAGCCTGGTACTCTGCGCCCTGCCGCCCCACCTGGGCGTGAACGTCCCCCAGCTCTGCCTCCAGCTGCTGGATGGTGGCGTTGTGATGGTTCATCTCCTGGGCGCAACGCCCTGCCGTGTCCTTCAAGTTGTCTTCCAGTGAGTGGTTCTGCAGAGTGACATGGTGAGAAAAAAGACTTCAGAAAGTCTGTTTAAACGCAGACACACCTTGTGCATTTATGCAGACATTTATCGTTTATGCTTATTAGAGCAAAGAGCAAGAATCTGCAGTGCAGCTTTGTGAAAACATCTTGAGAAAATTATGTTTAAAACTGCTTTTCTGGGCAGTAAACATTTATTAGCTTGAAAGAAACACTAACAGTGGAATAACTACAAACATTAAAACAGTAAATAGTGATTTTCTGTGCAAATCAAAACACGTTCTGTTGTCTAGTTATATTCATTTTAATGTTATATTGTGTTTTCACAAACAAAAACAAATGGGCAGCCCAGATAAATAGTTTTAAACAAGTTTCTCAGGTGGCCTAACGCTTTCCTGCAGTACTGCATGTCACAGAGTCTAGAGCACTTTGAATCTTGAAAGGTTTTACGTTGAACTTTTTTTGTTTTTACATTGTTCACAGTTTTCTGCTTAACCGGAATGAGGAAGTGAAAACCGAGCAGGAATAAATGGGGGCTGTTTGCGGATGAATGCCCAGGTTCCATGTCAAGGTTAACTCTATCCCAAAAGAAAGATCCCCTCATCACTGTTTTCACACAGTGGTGTAACGTTACAAAGTGTATCTACAGACGTTAGAGGGGATCTAACCTTCAGTCAAAGCTGAATTCTACTGATTCATCAACAATCCTGCACAATTAAATGGTTAAGATGTCATTCAGAGTGGTTTGGTGTGAAATTCTCCATTCTAGAGAAATTGTTCGAGTAAAAATTATTCACAGTGGTGGTGATAGGAACCAGACGTCTTAAAGAGTTGAATGCCTCTAAAACAGGGGTGCACAAACTTTTTGTCTTGTGGGGCCAAAATGTCATGTTTGTGGTCAAAAAGACAAACAATATACAGATAAAGAAAGTAAGTAGTTTCTGAAGATGTATTTTATAACATTATACTATGTTTTGTTACTAAAATACTTTAAACGTAGCATATTAAATATTTTAAAAGTAGTATAAAATATTCTTAGTTTTCTCCGTGGGTGAGGGGGTGGTGGTGGGTTCAGGGTAAGTTTCGGGCAGGCCAAATCAAACATCCTCACAGCTCTGACCCACTCTGCTTTAAAACGAAGCTAAAGAAAGTTATTGCACAAAATGGTTATGAATATGCCGTCTGATGCCTGAAACATTATTTTATGAGTTTTTGGCCTGAAACACATCTTTTCAAATCTATTAATTGGTGGAGGAATACATGCATGGTATTATAAGTATATATAAAATAGCCCCCCAAGAAAGCTTGTATTTCCAGATTTTCCACTTTTTCCCATCATCAACACTCCATATAAACTCAGAAGACGTGTAGGTTCACTGGTGGTTCTGGATAGTAAACAAAATGTCTATATTTGTGTTGTAGTCATGGCGACCCCTGGTTACCACCACTGTAAAGACATCTGAACCACTTCACACCAAACCACTCTGAATCTCTCTGTTTACATCTGAACCATTGAATTAAGTAGAAATTTGACAAATTGGAGGAGTTTCCCTTTAAGTGGGTAACATATGCCATGAAACTCTACACAATCATTTAAATTGAAAATGTTAAACCTGTATATAATTTTGCTGCTGAAGTCAAATTAAAATTTGTCACTTTTTCACAATTTGAGTTATTTGAGCCTCTGCTTTAAATAAGAAATATTATTAGGCCATTTTGCAAAATGTTTATCCAAAATCTTGCTTTTAAATGACTAATTTGGTCTTGTTTGGTTAAACTCTAATGTATAGAAATATAAAATCCAACATTAATCGCTTGTATTTGCTTAAAAAAGACTGTAATTGCTATTCTAATTAACACTACAGCACTTTTTTAAACTAGTGGAAATTCTGTGGACCCTCTCTGAAAATGGTCTGAACACCTCTGGTCTTAAACCTGTTGTGCAGGTCCCACTGGTTTATAAACAGCACAGTAACGTGACCTCAGGGTGTCCTCTCGTCAAATAAAGAGCAGACCAGGCTAATCAGATTACCGCTGGTCAAATAGTGCCTTTATGTCAACGTGATCCTAAAAGTTTTCATCAGCAAACTTACATATGTTTTATGAAAATGGAGAAAATGAAGTGAGGGAAATCTGGAATTATTCTAAGTTAGCATTATTTAGGTTTACAAGCTTTTTACTGTATTTTGATCTTAAATTAGTGAAGAAATCAGTAACATACACTGTATACTGTACGTCATCTTTGTCAGAAGAAAAGCTCCAAAAAGGGAGAAAGTTCAGTGTAAGTGAACGTAAAAAGATGCCAAAGTTTTCTAAGTTAACACATCCTCTACAGGCTGTGCCATAACTTTTGCACAGGCCTTATTTTAAGTTTTTTTTTCTCAATATGTTACATTCAGCAAGTAATTAGTAGCTGTGTATTAAAGTCTGTTCTCTGTGTGATATTGAATCAACAAAACATGGAATTTGACCAGGGGAGCCAAAACTTTTGCATACAACTGCTGTAACTTTGGACTATTGGTCCACTGGACATGAATTTAGCACCCAATGTAAAGCCCTTTACATTGGGTGCTAAATTAATGACCAATGGACCAATAGCTGGCATGCTTAAAAATGTGAATCAATAAAAAAGGACAGGACTAAGTTTTGTTCCCACAGAGACGATATATAATTTCCAAATAATCCAATCAGTATCTTGAAAATTAAACCTATTTTTGTTATTTTGTATAGAGACATTCAACACAAGGCATGTGCTAATTTTATCACAGTGTTTTTGGTTTCTGGAGGGTGAACAAGAGCTGAACAGGTGTGTAACTGCAGGTGGGCGGGGCACAGTGTGTTCTCTCAGGTAAACAGAGGCTTCATTGCGGTTAGGTAAGGGCGTGACGGCAGTGTGTGGGTGTGTGCATGGCTGTGGGGTTCGGGTTTAATGTGGGTAGTTTACCATGCTCCGCAGGGCCTGGAGGTCGATCTCCAGCATCTGTTTCTGCCTGCGCAGGTCGTTCACCTCGCTCTTCCCCTGCTGGATCGTCTCTGTGCTTTTGCTCGCCTCAGCCGTCATGCTGTCAAACTGTTAGAGAGGAGAAATACAGCCAGAAATATGAGGAACCAATTATAAGATGTGACAAAACAGACCTGTAGGGTAAATAAAACATTTAATTATGATTGAAGGATGTGATGTGATGTGATGTTTGTGTGCTTATAGTAAATTTAATTGTAACATGACTATTTCCAACCTCTCTTTATCCATTCAGCCTTTAAGACTGACCTATGTAAATGAGCTCTGTTCGGATTGGCAGTCCTGCACTCGATCATAATGCACTACACACTGTAATGTGGAACAGACTGTGATGTTGGGACTGAAATCTTCAGGGATACAGGAAAAAATAAACCTCAGCCTCTCTTTTTGGATGTGTGGGTGTGTACAGTGATCAGTTTGCTTCCTGACAGCCATGAACGGCACACCGTTTCATCTTTTTCCTACATCCTCTACTCCAATAACTCTACTACAGACTGTCTGCAGGAACAACACTCCACATCGCTTCAATGGAAATGGACCAGCTAAACTGCTGTAGGCTGAATAGGTGGGGCTAAACTGCTGTAGGCTGGATGGGCGGGGCTAATCTGCTTTAGGATGGATGGGCGGGGCCAATCTGCTTTAGGATGGATGGGCAGGGCTAATCATCTTTAGGGAGAATGGGCGGGGCTAAGCTGTTGTAGGCTGCAAGGGTGGGGCTAAACTGCTGTAGGCTGATTGGGCGGGGCTAACCTGTTATAGGCTGAAAGGGTGGGGCTAAACTGCTGTAGGCTGATTGGGCGGGGCTAACCTGTTATAGGCTGAAAGGCAGGGGCTTAATGCAGTAGGTTGACTAGGCTAAATGTAGGCTAAATAGGTGGTCATATGTTCATGTGTTCATGGTTGTGACATCCCAACTGTGACAAATTTAAAACAAACTTTTTTTTAATAATTAAAATAATATTTTTTTAAATAATTGAACCGTGTAAACTTGGGAGTAAATGGTACATTTTGAAATTTAAACTTTTATTGAATTTTTTTTAGGGCAGTTTGCTTCTCCACAATATCGCCCCTTTAAAGTCTTTAGCTATTATGTTGGTGGTCTTGCAAAACACTTACTAGTAAAATCCACCTTTAACCCCCCCCCCATAAAACATTAGTCCACTCTTCTTTATTCTGAAAAACTCAAACCAGGTGTTATATGAAGTTTATATTGTGTACCATTCATTATTTTGTCACAAACCTCTCCAAAATAACAAACTTCATATGAAAAATCCCTAAAACATCATTAACCCCTTAATTGGCCAAGGCCAGTTGGTGGGCCTAAAATTTTAGTACACACTTCTGTTACATAAGAATAGCTTAGCTACACTTAAGTCCCTGTAGCTACTTAATAATAAGCCTCAGTATGTAATAAGCCTGAGATGTAAGGGGTTTTTAATTTATCACAAAGCTCTAGAAACAGACAGATGGAGTGTCCTGAAGTGGTGATATAAAACATTTGATGGCTTTTCTAACCTTGGCTTGGTACCAGGCCTCGGACTCCTCGCGGCTCTTTTGCATAGCCTTTTCATACTGTTGGCGGATTTTGTCGATTGTCTCGCTGAGGTCATCTCCTCTCCTCGCCTCCATCTGCACATCCACACTGGAGCCTCTGATCTGGCCTTTCAGGTTAGCCACGTCCTTATTGAAGAGACACGAGGTTATGGAGCAGGTGCTTCTCTCTGTAATAACTGTATGACTCATGCAAAGCAAGCATGCTAATTGTAGTCAATAGACAATGGCTTGTGTGTAAACATTCAACAGAAATCTAAAGCTACACAGGATCAGAATGGAATTAAAGCTACTGCAAACAATATTAAATTAAAAAATAAATGACATTCACTCACGACCCATTTCATAAAAACTCTCTACCTTGTTCTTCCACTACCTGGCCACTTTATTAGAAACACCTACCTTGTTTTTCCACTCACTGGCCACTTTATTAGAAACACCTACCTTGGTTTTCCACTCACTGGCCACTTTATTAGAAACACCTACCTTGGTTTTCCACTCACTGGCCACTTTATTAGAAACATCTACCTTGTTTTTCCACTCACTGGCCACTTTATTAGAAACACCTACCTTGCTTTTCCACTCACTGGCCACTTTATTAGAAACACCTACCTTGTTTTTTCACTCACTGGCCACTTTATTAGAAACACCTACTTTGTTATTCCACTCATTGTCCACTGACTCACTCCTTCACTACCTTGTCTTGTCATACAACCATTTGGAATCCCTGTGGTCAACCAATTCTGACTGCTAGCCGAGCCCCTGAGCTATTAAGTGCAACCAAGCTAACATTAGTGTAACTCTTACCTCAGTCATTGAACAAAGTCGTAACTAAATGGGCAATTTTAGTAAATCACAGACTTACTTTGCTCTGCTTTAAGTTTTAGCTCAGTTATAGCTGCTTTTCTCACCTCTCTGACAGGAAACTTTTTTGCAAAAGTGGAACAGTTTCTTGTAAAACGTCTCTCAACGTTTGACATTTTAAGAGGCTGAAGTGGCTTCTCATTCTTCAGCCTCTTGTTTCTAATTTTCCTGTTCCACCTTAAATGTAATTGCGTACATTTAACTTGGAACGGGAAAATTCGAACAAGCAGCTGGCGAATGAGAAACTGACTTCAGCCACACGAGTGTTTCACAGTTTCTCGTTGCAGATTAAACATATCTGGAAACCAGCTGGAGTGATTATAAATACAAATAAGTCCATTAGTCTCCAAATTACTGATGTTCATCTTAAATCTTTCTCTTTGCCGTTTCGTTAGCTACTAACTAGGTGAGACTGTTGTCTGTGTTGCTATGGTGACCAGCAGTCAGCGTGCCAACCTTCAGGGTTAAAGGGTGAATTAGCAGTTCTACATTAACTCCAGAGTTTAAGACCATTTATTGTTAAACTGTGTTGAACGATCAGCAGAGCTTTATTTTACTGTAAAGGAGGATTATTTTATTTTTACCTACAAATCTGATTCTGCTGTGGAGCCACAACAGGGCAGTAAAAGAGCCGCATGTTGCTGACCATGGCTCTAGGGATTACTGTTGCACCATACAGGGTGACTATACATCCTCTTTTTTTCAGAACATTTCCTCTTTTTGTGATCCAAAAATTGCATTCAGACAGAATTTGGATGAATTGCCCAAAATCTCTTTGATTGGCTTTGCTTACATGCTGACATTTGTTTTTTACAGTCTGTCCCGTGCCGCCCTCCTGCCCCTAGTGTCCTCTTTTTTGAAAAACCAAAATATGGTCACCCTACATTAGTAAGCATGTTTACAACAGCTGCAGTAATGGTTACATTTTTCATGTTTCAATAATTGCTGTCCTGAGTGCTGTACATCCTTCTGGCATTTAAAGTACTACCTTTTTGCCCTTTAATGCCAGTTTGGGTGAATCATTGAGGTTTTTATGTAGTACCTCTTCGTGATTTTTATTAAGGAAGATCAGCTCCTCTTTCAGAGACTCGATCTCACTCTCCAGCTGCATGCGACTCATGTGCGTGTCGTCGATCATCTTTCGGAGGTTCGCAACGTCCTGGTCCACACCCTGCCGCATGGCATGCTCTGCCTCAAACCTTCCCACAGTAAAATCAACACACGCTTCACTTCCCCAATAATCCATGTGTATCCAACACTATATTTGCGCAAGGGACAGGTAGCATGGTAGGTAGGTGTAATTACAGGCCTTTCCAGACAGATTGAATCTAGGCCTGGCCTAAATTACACTGTCTGTGTGGGTCCGCAATTTAAAATCTCCTTTTAGTACATCTGGGACTAATCTCTGTCTCAACAAAACGCCTTCTGTTCATGTGGCCAAATGTAGAAACAGATATTACAGATATGACTCAGCTGTTCTTAAAAACAAAAGAACTTAGATAAGATTTTTCCAGTGGGGAGCATTTAAAGCCTCCTATTTCTGCAAAATGAAAAATACTGTAATTTTGGTCGAGGTTTGTTTAATATAATCATAAAACTTGTATAGAAAAGTTGTATTCAAACTCCTATTCTAAAGCTCCTATTTCATGAAATTTTAGTTGGAAACAAAGGGGTTAAATTCTTGAAAAAAAACCCACAGAAAATAATCCAATCAGATTTTTTCCCTGAGGTGTTTAGGTAGATACAGAGAACTTGTAGAGAGGAGAATTACCAATCTATAATGTCTTTCAGGTTTCTCAAACACTAGAGGGCGCTCTCAAGTGAGTCCAAAATGAATGGGTTAAGATGGAGCATTTGAGCAAAATCATAGTTTATAAATGCTTTAACATTTTTATTATAAAATAATACATTCATTTCCTCAACATACAACAGCATAAAACATTTTAACACTGCTGTTATATTTTTAAGAGGTTTTAAACTCGAGTTATAGGAGTTTAAAACGGCGCCTCATGTATGTTCGTGACGTCAGTGAGCGCGAACAGCCAATGAGCTGCTCCGCTCGCCAACCAATCAGCACTCAGGAGCAGTAATGTTAGCGCCCTGCTGCCCAAAACCTGTTTACTGTAGAAAAAAGGAAACATGCAGGTGAGATTTCTTTGTTTTTTTTAGTGAAATACATCCTTCTACTTTCTACAATTAAAGAAAAGTTCTGGGCGAGGGATTAGAAACTATTCTAACTTTTTTTTTTTTGTTTTTAGCTCCATTCACCCCCATCATTGAAGACTCGCTCGCGGGCGCCCTCTGCTGTTTTGCAGTCTTGTTTTGATAAACAGGGTAATGGGAAGAGGCCAGACTCCTCATAAACTGACTCTGGTAGATACAGCAAAGCAATCTCTCCCATTGGTTAGGACTTCAAGAGCTGAATTAAAGGCTTTACACATTAGATTAACCTCCACCACAATTACGAAGTGACAAAGGCATCAGCCAATCATGTTTCGATTTACAATGGGACCAATTTTGTGAGAGAAAAGGCCATTCTATGGCTTCTGGAAGTTCTAAATACATCCCTGCCTGTGAACACAAGCCATAGTCTAAGCGGGTTCCGGTTAGTTGTTAGGAATGTTAAACAGAGGCGGCAGCTCTGTGTCAGATCTCTTTACTGAAAGAGTCACTGTAAAACTGATACATACAGGCTCACATACATGATAATATCTGTTACCAGCTTTAAATAAAACACATGGAATGACTTTTACAAGCTTCGAGTGAACGTATTTAATCTAGAATGGCCAAAAATGTTAGCTTAGCACTAACATACTACTACAATGTCACAAGTGCGCTAGCAGAAATGAGCATTACCGAGTTGTTTTTTTCTCATTTTTGACATGTATGGTCCAAACTGAAAGCCTCGATCTCGCAATCACAGTTGTTTTACATCTGTTTTACTCACTAAAATCTCACATTGATTAAAAATAAAACGTCTTACTTGACTTTGAAGTCGTCAGCAGCCAGTCTGGCATTATCGATCTGTAGCATGAGTCGGGCATTGTCCATGTTCAGCTCTCTCAGCTGGGCAGCGGGCAATAAAAAATAAAAATGCCTTTAATTAGGGAATATAATAGTACCATATTCTGTCATAGTCATATTGTTATAGTGACTGCATGCACCCTTTATCGACTCCATGCTTTTTTATTTGATTTTTCTACATAAAAAGTTATGAAAAGGTACAAATACATGCTTTTTTCAAGAGAAATGATACCTTAAAAACCCAATAAAGGTTCAGTATTGATCCTAAAAGACACTGTTGTACCCTTGAGGGTACTTTTACATTGCTTAAACTTCAGCTGGACAGTATCCCATTTTCTGACAGTGTACTAGTATGTAAAGCGGAGACTGCCCACGATACATTTGCATGAGGTCTTTTTAGGTGTGGTCGAGCACATCTAGAGTCCCTGCTTGGTCATTCTAACCAAAATGCAGGTAAAAAAAGGCCATGTTGGGTTTCACATTCAGTTCATGAACTCATAGCCCCAGGAAAAAAGACTTTCTCAGAGGGTTTGAATAAAATGAATAAGGGATATAACTTCAGATTCGACTGTGCGACAGCAGAGCACAGCGGAGGATCTGTTATATTAGATCCTGATCCTCAGATCTGATTTCATTTAGTGCATCAGGAGGATATTTAACTGTATGTAACCTCCAAACTGTTTTAGCTCATATTGCTGTTAGTGCTGCTCACCGTGAGCAAAAGGAAAGACAACTAAAGTCATCAAGAATATTATAAGAATGCTTAAAGTATGAAAATAAATAACCACAACAATAACAATAATTATAACCAATTAATTCTAATGAAGAACGAATAATAATGAAATATAAGCGCTGACCTGTCCCCTCAGGTGTGCTATGGTTTTGTCGTACTGTGTCCAGTCTCTCTCCTCCGAGCCCCTGCTGCTCACTCTCTCTCTGATCTGCGCCTCCAGTTTGCTGTTGGCCTCCTGCAGAGTTCTCACCTGGGCCAGGTAATCGGCCAGGCGCGTGTTCAGCCCCCTCATGCTCTCCCTGCTGTCCGCCGCAGTGACGGACACTCGCGAGGAGCTGGGCATGCTCAAGCTGGCGAAGGAGTTGAAACCGAGTGACATGATGCACAGACACACACACAGAGCAGTGAGAGACTGAAGGAGAGACGGAGCGAGCTGCAGGTTCCTCCTGCCTACCTGCGCAAGTGAGGAGGGGGTGTGTGCAGGGCTTTTTATAGGGCGTGTCTCAAGCCAGCCTACTGGACTGAATGTGGTGAGTTGTGGTGCATTCAGTTCAGATGTGACTGTGGCTATGCCCTACTCCCTATTCCCTACACTGTACTCACTACTTGGTTTGAGACTCCCTGATCACTATTCCTTTCTCTTTAAACACTACACTGCAGAAAATAGTATCTTGTCAAGTAAAATTATCTTAAATCTAGTCGATGTATCCAGTATTTCTCCTGGTGAGAGTGTTGTAAGCTTATTTTAAGACTATCTTATTTCCAAACATTTTTACCTGTTTTAAGTAATTTTACCAAGCAGAACTATCTCACTTTATTGGCAGATACACCTTGTTTCTACGCTCATTGTCCATTTTATCAGCTCCACTTACTATATAGGTGCACTTTGTAGTTCTACAGTTACAGACTGTAGTCCATCTGTTTCTCTGATACTTTGTTAGCCCCCTTTTACCCTGTTCTTCAGTGGTCAGGACCCCCATGGACCTTCACAGAGCAGGTACTATTTGGGTGGTGGATCATTCTCAGCACTGCAGTAACACTGATGTGGTGGTGGTGGTGTGTTAGTGTGTGTTGTGCTGGTCTGAGTGGATCAGACACAGCAGTGCTGCTGGAGTTTTTAAACACCTCAGTGTCACTGCTGGACTGAGAATAGTCCACCAACCAAAAATATCCAGCCAACAGCGTCCTGTGGGCAGCGTCCTGTGACCACTGATGAAGGACTAGAGGATGACCAACACAAACTGTGCAGCAGCAGATGAGCTATCGTCTCTGACTTTACATCTACAAGGTGGACCGACAAGGTAGGAGTGTCTAATAGAGTGGACAGTAAGTGGATACAGTGTTTAAAAACTCCAGCAGCACTGCTGTGTCTGATCCACTCAGACCAGCACAACACACACTAACACACCACCACCACATCAGTGTTACTGCAGTGATGAGAATGATCCACCACCCAAATAGTACCTGCTCTGTGAGGGTCCATGGGGGTCCTGACCACTGAAGAACAGGGTAAAAGGGGGCTAACAAAGTATGTAGAGAAACAGATGGACTACAGTCTGTAACTGTAGAACTACAAAGTGCACCTATATAGTAAGTGGAGCTGATAAAATGGACAATGAGTGTAGAAACAAGGAGGTGGTCATAATGTTAGCCTGATCAGTGTAATTGTGCTCATTTTAAGAAATGTGCTTGAAACCAGCTAAATTATCTGACAATATAGTGAGATCATTTCACTTAATAAAATTACTTAAAACAGGTAAAAAAATGTCTAGGAATAAGGTAGACAATCTTATAATAAGTGCACAACCATCTCAAAATAAGAAATATTAGATGTATTGACTAGAATAAGATAATTTCACTTGACAAGATATTATTTTTTGCGGTGCACCACTCACTACTCCATATTCGCTACTCCCTAGATACTACCCTCTACTGGTCTGATTGTGAACCTTAAATAAGTTTTTCCAGGTGAAAAGTTCGTATTTGTTCCTTTTCATAACCGAATGTTTTAAAACAAAACAGTAAAATAAAAGCCTGGAGACGAGACGGGGTGTGTGGAGTCAGTACAGCTTAGAACATATCATTTCAGTGGATTATGGTACAGTTATGTTCCCTGACTAAAGGTACGGAGATGTACCCTTGAGAGAACTGCCCCAGTGACAGTTTAGTACCTTTTTTGAGTGAACTTTGTATAGTCTCTGCTTTATAATTTACTTAGTTACTTAATACCTAATTGCTTCTCAATACTCCCTATTCACTACTTCCTACTCACTACTCTCTACTTGCTACTTACTACTCAGTATTGTACCCCCTGCTGGCTGGCACTGGCTCTGAGAGACTCTGGAGGTGTGGCTATGCAAATGGCCACAAGCAAAGACTCATGGCATGTGCCTCCGACAAAGAGACTTACTGTGCTGTTTAGTATTGTTTGATGTTAGTTTAAGTTGTTTATGTGTGTTTATTGTGTTATTCTGTGTCAAAGAGTAGGGTTATTGTTCGTCATCCGGTGTGGACCAGAGGAGGATGGGTTCCCCTTTTGAGTCTTGGTTCCTCTCAAGGTTTTTTTCTTCTTGCTCTTAGGGAGTTTTCCTTGCCGCTGTCGCTATTGGCGACGCTCATGGGGGCTCAGACCCGGATTTTTCTGTAAAGCTGCTTTCTGACAACTCCTGTTGTAAGAAGCGTTATATAAATAAACTTTGAACTGATCTGATTTGGGGTCACTACTCACTAGCAATTATTACTCACCACTTCCTACTCTGTACTCATCAGTACTAACTATTTCTTTCTCACCGCTCTTTAATCAGTAATCTGTACTTACTACTAACTACTTACTACTCCCTACTTACTACTCCTTAATTACTACTTATCCTTACTCTGTACTTATTACTAAATACTCCCTATTCACTGCCCCTACTCATCATGCTCTACTTACTAATCCCTACTTACTACTCACTTACTACTTAGTTACTAATCTCTACTTACTACTGACTTACTCCTTAATCGTTACTCTTTCTTTATTACTTAATCATCCCTATTCACTACTCCCTACTCACTGCACTCTACTTACTAATCCTTATTTACTACTCACTTACCACTTACTACCCCCTGCTTACTGTTCACTTACTACTTACTAATCTCTACATACTACTCACTTATTACTTAATCATTACTCTGTATTTATTACTCAATACTCCCTATTTATTACTTCCTACTCATTGTACTCTACTTACTAATCCCTACTTACTACTCACTTATTACTTAGTCATTACTCTTTATTTATTACTCAATACTCCTTATTTATTACTTCCTACTCATTGCACACTACTTTCAAATCTCTACTTACTACTCACTACTACTTACCACTACTTAATCATTACTCCTTATTTATTACTCAATACTCCCTATTTATTACTCCCTACTCTCTGCACTGTATTTACTAATCCCTATTTACTACTCACTTACCACTTACTAATCCCTACTTACTGTTCACTTACTACTTACTAATCTCTACTTACGACTCGCTTATTACTTATTCATTGCTCTGTATTTATTACTCAATACTCGCTATTATTACTCACTTATTACTTAGTCATTACTCTGTATTTATTACTCAACACTCCCTATTATTACTCACTTATTACTTAGTCATTACTCTGTATTTATTACTCAATACTCCCTATTTACTACTTCCCACTCATTGTACTCTACTTAATAATCCCTACTTAATACTCCTTAATCATTACTCTGTATTTATTACTCAATACTTCCTATTCACTACTCTCTACTAATTACACTCTACTTACTAATCCCTACTTACTACTCACTCACTACTTAATCATTACCCTGTTTTTTTGTATTACTCAATACTCTCTATTTATTACTCCCTACTTTCTACATCCATCCTACTAGTCCTTAATCACTACTCTGTACTCAGTACCCACTACTTGCTCATCACTACCTCCTACTTCCTACATACCATTCCTTACTCACTACTCTCCACTCATTTCCTACTCCTGCTCCCTAGTTTACTTTCATCTTTTTACTGAAAATGTTCACACTCACACTACCCACTCTCTGTCACTCCTAATCTTTACTCTCTACTCCCTGTTTACTCCTCCTTACTCCCTACTCACCTCTGCCCACTACATCCTACATACCCCTGTCCACTTGCAACCCAACCATTACTGCTCCATTCTCCTTACTCTGCACTTATTACTCTCTAATCACTTCTCCCTACAAAGACCACAACCACCACAGCAAAATCTGCAGTGAAATTTTAGTCTAGTTTTGTCTAGTTTAGGTTGTATTTTCATGTCTAACATACAAATCTACTGTCCATTAATGTAAATTTTATCATCAGTCAACGGCATGAATTATTTCATATTTGCTATTGACAGTAAGCAGTTCCAGTGTGTCTGTTGTGTTTGGCAAGTTATTTTGCACCCTGATGATGTCAAAATGGCATTCTACTGCCTCCTAGTGGTGACATTGCCATCATACCGGCATTAGAGCTTCACTGCTACTGGTGATAACTCCCTGCAGCAACCAGTTTAGGACACCAGTTTACCACGTTGAACAAAGGCATATTTTTCCCTCTGATTCCTTCATATATTGATGGATCATTTAAAGATACTGTACATGTAAATAAGAGGATTAGTAATAAAAGCAAATGTATGAACAGAAAAATATCAATAAATAAGCTACTAGAACTGGTACAGGTGCTATGAAAAATCAATAAATAAAATAAATAGTAACCATTGAGCACTCAAACAAGCCCCTTTATGTAACACATTGAAAAAAAAAAAATATTAAAATAGAAAACATGCTGTAACTTTTGCACAGGCTGTACTGTATGTCAATCTGGTTATTATATCTTGCTTCGTGTATAATATAGGATATAGACATCATATGGACATACAGTATACAGATCATATGGACACTGGCCTGTGCAGCTGAAATATACAATAGTGTATCATTGGCGTAGCAGTGGAAACTGATGCCATGTTTTCTAATGATGGTACCTAGTGGTAGCATATATAAGGTAAATAATATGGGTCCTAAGACAGAGCCCTGTGGAACACCGTACTTTACTCTTGTGAGAGCTGATCGTTCACCATCTGCATTAACAAACTCATAGCAATCACTAAGGTAAGATTTGAACCACAAAAGAGCTTTACCTGTCACTCCTACTAGTTTTTCAGGCTTGAAACAAGCCTGTTTCAAGCCTCCTACTAGTTTTTCAAGCCTGTCTAATAGAATGTCTAATAGAATGGAATGGTCTATTAGGTCAAATTGTGCTCCCACAGTGAAAACTATGTGAAAAAATTCTCATTTTATGTGTGTAAAGTTGCTCAAAGCTGTATTTGCTGTGTGTTACTGTCTAGCATTTTTCTGCTCAAAATTAAAATTGTCAGTACAGAAGCTGTCACTACTAAAACATTTGGCAAAGTTTTGATAGTGTTATGATTGT